GTGTCCACGTCGGTCGAAATATGCCCGGCGTACAAACGGACGAATGTGGATAGGTGGACGAAGGTGAAGAGGAGAGGATGAAAAAAGAAAAATAGAATCATCTATTGGAGCTAGGCCCGATGTGTGGTAAACCCTTAGCCTCCTATTATTGGACGGAGGGCTCCTACCTACCGCAGACCACGCGCCTGCATCTCTCTCTCTCTCTCTCTCTCCATTTTTCGAGAATTAATCGAAACTAATTGGCAATTTGTGCGAGGGAACCCTTTCGCGTAGAATTACGACGTTCCAACTGCTCCAACTTTTCGCTTTTCGAATCCCTTCTTCCCGCCGACTTTATTATTCCATTTACGATTCCACGAGCTTTTCAAGCGAGCGGCAATCTTTGTTAAATTAATAAATCTTTGCGTAAAACGAATGCGAAGGGATAAAACGAAATGGGAGGCAAAAGTGTGTCATTCGCATTGAAACTATATATCAAGTTGGTGGAATAGTCGGTGAAATGGATGGTGGATAGGAAATGGTGGACGGATTTAAAAGTTACAAGTGTCGCAAAATATTCGATTGTCGGTGTCTGTCGTGGCTTCGAATTACACCGCAGGTATATATACTTTGGATGCATCTCGAATGTAAAGCTTTCGCTAAACATGGGTGGTGGGTCGAAGGGAGAAACTGAAATAGCGAAATTGAAAGAGGATAAAAGCAAGAAGGAAGAAAGGGAAGGAAGGAAGGAAGGAAGAAAGAAAGAAAGAGAAAGATAAAGAGAAAGAGGAAGTGGGCTCTTTATGGACTTGTTTGTCGCTACGTGACTTTTTACGAATTATTCGAAAACTTTGAACCCGCGCACACGCCACATTCGCAATACCGTTTTAGACGATCGCGCGACGAGATGATTTCCTCTTTCTCCGAATAAGTACCGAGTACCCAGAGCTCGACCATTTTTATAAACAAAAGTTCCAATCGCGAGATCCAAGTTTGTAAGTCCAATTTTTAAACCTTTCCGTACTACGTTCGACTTTCGTCGCATCCTTTAAATAAGAAAATAACAAAGAACAACAACAAATTAAATATTCTTCGATCTCGCAATTTTCGAACAAACGATTAAAAAAATTCACATCACGAGATTACCCACAGGTATACGCGTATCCTTTTTTTTTTTTTTTTTCGTTGGAGATGAAAGAACAGGGTACGTTCTCCCTTCGGTCTCGTAATGGTTGGCGATCTGATCGCGCAAAGTCCGGTAAAATCGAAACAAGGCGGACTCGTGAGATAATGGAAAGGGGAGGGAGGAGGAGGCAGCGGAGGACGAGTGGTGGATGTCGTTGTAGAAAAATAAAGTCTGTGAAAAGACTGAGAAAATATGTCGATAAATCTAACCGAGTCTAGCCGAGATAGAGATGGCGAGCGAGCGGGAAACAACTGTCTCGAACGAAGGCCCGGGCGGACTATTATTTCTCCCGTGGTCGTTCCTCTCCTGGGCCACGGCTCGAATCCGTCCTCCCCGTGTATCGCGGTGAGAAGGGCAACGATCCTTCCTCTCCCGGGAGGAGAAGGGGGGAGTTTTCGCGTTCCTGTTACGTTACTCGACATACTTTCCCCCCCCCCCCTTTCCCACCATTGCCTCCCTTCACCCAAAAATTATACACACGCTTCTATACGCGCGATCAAGTTTCACAACGCGACGAATCCGACGATAATATTTACTTTCGCACCGAGGATCGAACCGGGTTTACTAAAATCTTTCTCCTATACTTTCTCTTCGTATACTTTGGAAAAATCATTCGTACGGATTACCTTCGCGAAATCGGCGGAAACTCTTTCTACGATCGATCGCTTTCCGTCATCGTCCCTCTCCATTGGGATCTCTCTCTCTCTCTCTTCGTTCCCTTGTTCCAAGCCCCCCCGTCTCATCGATATTACGTCGCCTCCTCGAGTTTCCAAATTTCCTTACTCGCATCGTTCGATGCAGCGTCGTATTCTCTACGTTGTACGTAAATGTCAAACGTACGCGTTGACATTTATCGTCATCCCTTCTGGAAAATATATAGCTGTAGATTTGCTGTAGAATACATCGCGGGATTATTAACCGATAAATACCGATAAAAGATATAGGAGATCGAGGAAGAAAGACGAGTAAGTTTAATCTTAAATATATATGTATATATATTTCTCGTATAATTATTTACTTAATATAATAGCGTAATGTACATGCGATATATTCCGTGTGAAAGTCTAGCTTATATACATAACACTTGGTGCAATTTTTTTTTTAAACTTTCCATCTTTATTTAATAACATTCGTCTTTGGTGTATATATATATAAGAATCGTGTAATCTTTGTTATACATATTTTTCTTTCTTTCTTTTTTAACCGTAATATACTAAAAAAATAACACAAGTGAATTAGTACATTTTGGAATGTTTTCGATGTAAAAAAACATTATACAGGTTCTTCGTATCTTCGTACTATATCTCGCGTTAACAAAAAGAAGCAATCTACGCTATTACACTTTCTTAACCGCTATACGTTTATTATTTAGGTATTATAAAAAAATATTTATTTTAACATTTATACAATATCTTTCAATTACAATTGTATAAGTCTAAAATATTTAGGAAGATCATATATATATAAATACATAGGTTTGATATTTCGTTACTTGTATTTTATATATATGCGATTAGAAAAATTCTCTTACTTTTATTACGAACGTACATATATAGATTTCATATATTCTTCTTTATTTACAACTTAACGATCGTCGTTAAAAAAATATCGATGATATATGCATCACGATCACCATTGTCTAAAAATTTTCATCACCCTTTAACAAGAACAGCGAGAACAATTTAATTTCGATTATTATTACCATTCACATTTTCCTCAAAGTCTCAAGCATTTCCATATTCGCATTTCGATACGATTCTACTACGATTGGAAGAAAAAAAATAAGAAAGAATTTGCAGACGTACGTTTTCAAAAGATTTTTCGTCATTCTGGGAAAGAGTAGGATTCCGATAGCAAAGTCTCGATATTCACCCATTTCTGTTGAAACAGGCTGTTAAACGGGAGGATCCATTCGTTGTTCGGGATATAATAGAGATAGAGAGGATAAATTTCGCAAAAAAGACAAAACTATCGGTATTTACAAGATGAAACGATTGGACGATTTAAACGTAGAACAGGTGATACGAAGATGCGGTCTATGCAATAGTTGATTTATAGATATCGAGTCACGTATCCAAGGCCGCTGGCAAAGCTCGAAGCGAGTGCGAGGGCGTTACTCGCGTATGACGCGTGCAATTTCTCGTGAAATTATTCCACGCACGCCAACGGCAGTCGGTGATATATGGACAGCCGCATAAAAGACACGTCCCTCCTACACGCGTGACCCATGACCGAACCCGAATATTGAATCACTTTAATATCTCGGAACGAGACACGAGACGAGTCACGGCCCGCGTCCACCTTCTCTGCCCTCTCCACCAATACCTACCTACATAAAACGTCCAACCTTTAGTTTTTAAATAATCTCTTTTCAAATTTTCCTCTTTTTCTCTTTTTCTCCCCCTCATCTAAATCCCCTTCACCTGTAAGAATTTACACGCGTCGCGCGTCCTCCACGTCGAAATCGAAAAACGATTATTTAGCCCGATCATTCGATAGAGAAATTATTAACCTTACGAGTACGAGGTTAATAATTGGTCTGCGATAGCGATGGCCCAGAGATCCGATCCCACCATCACCGATACTTCCAAAATCTTATCTTATATTTTTCGTTCGTTCTAATTAGAGTTTTCGTTAACTGGTTGCTAAACTTGACTAGATTAAGAATTCGAGATGACACAAATAGTGGTTCGAGAACGTAAATAGGAGAAAAAGGAGTACAAATACGGATGGAGCGTAGTGATATAAGATTCTCGATGAGAACGTACGTAGTAGAGGATAATTCACCGCTAATTCGAATTATCGTTTCGAGTATGCTTCGAGCGAGCCCAGCGCAATAACCTCGATCGCGCTCGACGAAAACTTGGTGTCCGTTTCTACAAAGATTCTATAAAAAAATAATTTAGACACGCGATGAAAAAGTTAGGAACCATTTTACGCGAATTGCCATGTAGCGCAGATTGATCGCTTAGAGTCAAACTTTTAGATTATCAAAGCTAATTTTATACACGTATATATGTATATATATACTATATAGATATCTCGTTTAACGAATTATATATATATATATATATATAAGTTTCTAAAGTCATAGGCTGTAGCAATACGGTTACTACGAGTCTCGACGATTATCGACGTAGAAACGAATATTTGTAGAAAATTTGTACATTTTACGATGCTGATCCAATCTTTTTCTTTTCTTTTCTTTTCTTTTTTTTTTTTTTTTTTTTTTTT